ACATAAAAAAATAAACGTATCTAATTTATTTGTGAACATGAAAGCCCCTCTGTTTTTTTCATCCCCCCCGGGCCATCTCCATTCTAAACCCAAGCCCTAGAAAACCAGGTATTACCCCACTATTGACCTTAATATTACCCAACCTACAATTCTTTCCACAAATAGTATGTAAAATTCCCGTAGAATCTTCTATTTTATCCCCCAACCTCCCTAAACTGCTCTCTTTTTTCAACGGTTTTATAGATGTTGAATGAAAGCACGACTCTTTGGGCAGTTATTTCATTCCAGTTCCTTGTGGGAGTTGAACCTGACAGGATGTTCTTCGAAGTCAACAGGGGCCCAGTTCATCACTGTGACTCGTGCTTTTGAAATATGCTGGTGTTGGTGGGACTGAGTCGATCTTAATCGAATAGGTTCGAATTCGATTTGATTTAGAGTGTGGGTTAATGTATTCCTCGACATCATAATGGGGTCTCGTTTTAGAGTCTGGGTTAATGAGACAGTTAATGGGGGTTCTCGTTTTGTAGGAGAGACGTTAGGGCTTAGGTCCAAAGTGTGCCGTGGCATTAAATGTCAATGATGTCATCGCAGCCTTGAGATTTCAAAAAGAGACTGGCTATTTTTTGCTGCTAGTTTCGTCACGCCTGCCTGGTATCCATCTCTAAGTAATTGTCAAGCTGCAAACGATAATTGCTGCAGAAAATCCTTCTGCCAAACAATGAATCGACTCTGCAAGCCATTCTGTGCAGTTTTCAGGTGCTTTTGGCAGAAAAAACGTCATCTGCCAGAGACAAACACCCTCCTGGCAGAAAAAAAACACCTCCCGGCAGAAAAAACACCTCCCGGCAGAAAAAGCCATGCCGGCTTTCGGAACTGCAGAGTTCGAGGGCTTCTGCAGAGTGCACGCCAGCCTGCTTCAGGAAAAAAAGTGTTTCTGCGGACTCAAAAAGGGCGTTTCTGCAGAGTTTTTCATTCCCAGTGTACCCTCACGAAGCACTTTTTCTAGCTTTTCTTGCTGATATCTTGAGTGGACAAAGAAATGAAATTCAGGAGTCGCAAGAATGTCGCCAGTTGAGTTCTGCCCATCTCCATTCTCGATAGCTCGCAGCCATATGCATGACATCAGGCCAATCTGATTCATTTGAACGAGCAATTGTGTAGCTTCCGGATGTATTCTTTTCATCGAATGAATCAGACTTCAAGATTGGTGTTGCCATTCGTTGAGCACCCTCCACATACTTCTGGAGCAAGTTCACCTTCGTGCGTGGGATTGCTCCCATCTGCTGCCGGAAAGAGTCGGGACGATCCATGGCATAGACTCGGCCTGGCACTCGTTTTCCTTTCTTCCCCTTAGCCATGATCGTTTTCTTTTCATAGGGTGTGGTCATATGCACAATCTCAATGCCGGCACTGGAGGTGGAAGCTGTGGCAGTGGCACGGACTGGTGTTGCGGAACGGGCAGTAGCAGTAGCAGCAAACTCATGACCTTCGATACCAACGGAGATTCCAGCATTGTTGGAACAAGCTCGACAGATCCAGTCCCCTTCCGGAACGGCTTTGCGACGGATGCATATGACATGAAAGGCTTTTCCACAACCCGTACACACCTCTCCACCATCACAGACAATCAACTTGCCATGCTTCATGCAGACGCCACACAAGTCTTCCTCGCAAAAATGATTAAGATCTTCATTGCTATCCTCCTCGACATCGAGATCTTTATCCTCGGAATCTGATAGCTTAGTCAGCCTTTTCTTCATCTTCGGTTTTTTCTTTGGTTTTTCACAGCTGGGATCCCATGCACTTTCCTCAGAGTCAGAGCTACTAGCAAAGTCAGAGTCATCGTGACCACTCTTATGCTTCCGCTTCTTGCGGCTGGGAAGGACGGTAACAAGCTTCAATCTACGATGGTTAGCACGGGCGTATTCGCTTCCTGCTCTCTTCTTTTTGACATAACCGCTGCTCGTAACAACTCTCTTCGTGGCAGCAGGCTTGGATGGTGTCGCCACAGCAGCTTCATTGTCCTCTGGACGGGCCGTCTCAACCTCAGGTTCACTCAAACCCTTTGCTATGTAAGGGACGATGGCAGTGCAATTGACGGCAGCAGAAGCATTGTCCTTTGGACGGGACGTCTCAACTTCAGGTTCGCCCAATTGGTCGTCGTCATGATGGCCGACCACGGGCCCAAGCATCAGCATCGGCATCATCATCAGTCTTCTTCCAATGTTCTATGCCCATGTACTGATCGACAAGATCCATTTTACCCACGGCCACAAGGTGCTTCTCAAGCTTAGCTACCTCCAAAGCTCTTTGCAATATCTTGTTTTGATCCTGCTCAGGAATGGTGTCAAGTGGTTCTCCGGTGCGTTGTGCAAAGGCTTGGTTGTTGACATTCGGTGGCTGCAAATTCAATGAAACATGTCTTGCATCTATTCTGTAAAGGGCAAGAGTGTCTTCGACTGGATTTCAATTCAGAAGATGCTCATCTTCAGAACCACCACAGTCATCAACAGAGGCCTTCTTGTCTCGTTTTGTCGTCCGGCCTCTCTGGAGCACAGCTTTGGGCTTCTGGGGAGGTGGTGGAGGATAATGAAGGCAACGACCTCCAGCTTTGAATCGATCTGGCATGCTGTGGAGGAAGGGCTCCAAATCTTGAGGGATAATGGCATGTTCATGAGGCCTAACAAAGCGTAAGAGTCTAAACTTGATCAGCATCTCTTTAGTGTAGCCGTGGATGTTAAACTTCTTGGGAACTTCCTTCCAACCTGGTTGCTTGGCAACTGCACCAGTAAAAAGGAGTTCTTTGCCACACCAAAGCTCAAAATCCGGATGCACTATCTTCCCAGCTTTGATAGCAGCACCATTGCTAGCCTTTGGAAGGGTGATTCTGGGCAGTTTGCGGCCCGAAAAGGAAGAGGTGTTGCCCATTGTCGATTGTTGATATCAAGAACAAAAAATCGAAAAGCTGCTACTAGTACTATATCGAAGAGTTTGTGAGATCGATTCAATCGTTCATCAATTTCATTCTTGCGTTACTCGAGCTAGCTTGCACGATAGGAGCGTTCAGCGTGTAACAGTGGTCGGGAGCTATCATTAGTGGAGTATGCAGACCTGTATAGTGGATTGGTCGGGCTTTCTTGCGGTCGTAAATTCTCATGGGGAAACAAGCAGTTTATTCATGGGGGAACAAGCAGTTTACGCATGGGGAAATAAGGATTTATTGTTTCCCCATGAGTCATGGGTAAACAAGCTGTTTCACCACGAGTTTCTTGTTTCCTCATGAGTAAACAAGAAATCCTTGTTTCCCCACGAGTGGTGGGGAAACAAGATGAGTCGTGAATTGGTGGCACGGTAACGTCCCAGATTTAAGTTTAAACTAAAGCACGACTCATTTGACTTGGAGATTTAACCATTTTTGTATTATTTCCGGGTCGCCCTGGTGGTTGGCGGCTGGCATTGTTGGAGTGTCAATACCGTGTCCGCAATAAGCGTTTTCTACTCTTTACATTATGTAGTTTCACTTTTTCTTGCAAAAGTTTCACTATTTTAAAAAGTGAAACAGTAAAGAGTAAAAGGTAAATCTACCTCATCTACCTCAAAAAAGGTAGAGGAAGTAGAAAATAGATTTACCTTTTCCACGTGTTCTCTTTGTCTTTCCGTTAAGTAAAATTGGTGAAAAGAAGTCATCGGAAGTCGTCAGGGAGTAAAGAAAGGAAGCTGTTATTGCGGACACACCCAGCTAAAATGGCAAAGAACTTCAAAGGGTAAAGAGTAAAGAGTAAACAGTAGAAATCCTTATTGCGGACACTGTAATAAAGAGAAGTTGTGGCGAGATCGGTCATTTTCCTTGCCTTCTTCAACATATGACTGCTGAATGACTTGCAATAACTCATACAGTAACAAGAACACAAAAATCGGAAGCGGAACTCGTACCGGTACATGTTTAAATGTACGAGTTACCGAAGTCATCGAACATCACACGGCTCGTCTCCCTTTTACCTTTTACGGCACCTCTTCCCACACCCGAAAGAGCATCGACAATTGACTCGAAGCAGCAAAAGAGCAACGACAAAGTCATCATCATCAGCAGCAACGAGAACAATATCCGATGGACTTCCTCAACGAGCACCTCAACGAGCACCATGAGTTCGAAGAGTCCGCTACTGAGGTGGTCTATCCAGAGACATTACAGTTTGGACAAGATGACCAAACGATGATTTCGAATGTGACCGATCTGTACACGGTGGAGTATCAGCCTGTGATCTACCCTTCCTTGCAGCATGTTTCAGACGATGAGACTGTGCACGACCCTTTCAATACGGAAGGAACACCAGCACCAGCAAATGCCGCTCACGGGAATCTCCAACAGGAGCAAGAAGAGGCACAGATTACTAGGAGGAGCTTCACGAGCAGGGTGCCAATAGAAAAATTGAAATTTCTGGATACTCTTGATGCTGGGCCACCTCCTCGGTATCAAAAACTGCCTTACGAAAAGGGAGGAGACGACACAAGTACCATAACTGGAAGTCAAGCTTCAACAATACTTGCTGCAAATAAGGGAGGAGATGACACAAGTACCGTTACTGGAAGTCAAGCTTCAACAATACTTGCTGCAAATAAGGGTTCCTCAAAGATACCCGCACCCACAAGTACCGACAAAAATAGGAGCAATGGCTCCTCTGACAAAAAGGCTCCTCCAATCAGTGTTCCAACCGCTTCCGCTGCCCCTTTGTCTCCTGACGTCAAGAGCAATGGAGTCTCCGCTGATAAAAAGGATCCCACAGTCACGGTGCCAACCGCAGCTACCTCCATTTCATCTGATGGCGACGTCACAAACATGGATCTGCAGAGCAACGATGAAGTCTCCGATGATAAAAAGGATCCGACGTTCAAGTGGCCAACCACTGCTGCAGCGTCTACCACCTCCGATTCATCTCCTGGCGACGGTAAAAACATGGATCCGCAGAGCAATATCGGAATCTCCGATGATAAAAAGGATCCACAATTCATGGTGCCGACCGATGCTACAGCGACTGCCGCCTCCAATTCATCTAATGGCGACGGCACAACAAACATGGAACCAACCTCGTTCACAACCTCGGGTGTGGCCACTATCGAACAACTCATGAGTGATATCTTGGAGGCCCCTGCACCCTTGCCACCAAGCCTGAGACGGAATGGGAATATTGAACAACAGGCTCCCCCTGGAGCCTTTCGAGCCATCGCTGGTGGCCAACGCATTGAGCAAGTGAGTCAGCTCCACAAAGGGGGGATGGATGTTTTGGCACGACGGTACAGGGATACGGATCACTCCATTCTACAATCATCAGGAGACGACAATTCTCAGGATTCTATGCTAGAACAAGCCGAAGAAGGAGCTGCTCCTCCAGACAACAACGAAAGCAACCACAACAATTTTCAAGATGAAAGAAGGGAAAGGGTTGCAATTACTGGAGAATTGATGACTGACACAATGCAAGGAAAGAAACTGTCATACTGGACCATTGCCGGTGCCATTGGTTTGCTTGTTTCGATCATTATTATTGCAATTGTGGTTGGTGTTACAACCTCCAAGGACAAAACCAGCCAAGAGGAAGTTGACGATACAACCAGCGCAGAAGAGATTGCCACATCGTTGTACACTTCTTCATTGGAAGACGTGTTTCCCACAGAAGAGTCATTGTTGTCCGATGAAACCCGACAAGCCATTTTATCTGAAAACGGACAATCCCCTCAGGTTCAGGCATTTCAATGGCTGGCAGAAGATGAAAACTGGCAAAACTATGGCATGCCACAGCTACAGCAGCGATTTGCTTTGGCCACAATCTACTATGCCACTGGTGGGCCCAAATGGTTTGATCACGTCCAAAATTCCAACTCTTACAACCTTTGGTTGGACTATTCTACCCACGAGTGCTCCTGGTATGGCATGCCCAATGTGCATGGCCGGCCAAAGTGTTCCAACTACACAGCAATAAGCGAAGCATCTCTAGCCAATCCATGGGATGCCCATTATGATTATCAATCCTTGCAGCTAGGTGCCAATCCAAGGCTCCTCCTCACTGCCAGGAATGCTGAAGCGAGGCTGCGAGGGACTCTTGTGCCAGAACTGGCACTCTTGACCAATCTACGAGAACTTGATGTTGAGCATCAAAGCATCAAGGGAACTATTCCCAATGAATTGACACAGCTCTCCAATACACTTCAGTTCATATACTTGACAAAGTGCTTCTTTACGGGGACCATTCCAGCACAGCTATTCCTGTCATCTCGTTCACTCTTTTTGAGTCACAATCCTCGGTTGACATCATCTATCCCCGCCATTGGCGCTTCTTCCAAAATGGCACAATTGAAAATGACAGAAACAAATTTGCAAGGGACAATCCCAACAGAGCTTGGCTTGGCCACTGGACTGGAGGAACTGTTGTTGAATGGCAATGACTTGAAGGGACCAATCCCCAGTGAATTAGGGCAACTTTCCTCACTGAAAGTGCTGGACCTGACAGATAATGAACTCTCAGGTTCTATTCCCTTGGAGATTGGACACGCGCACCAGCTCCAGATTCTCAGGTTGGGGACTAATTTTGACTTGGAGGGAACTTTGCCTATCAGTCTGGCCCTTCTCTCCAATCTGCAAGTGTTGGATATCTTCAAGAATTCCATTGAGGGAGCTCTATGGCCAGAACTGTTTTATGCGACAAGTGATTTCAATGACACATCGGCAGTGACAGCTTCTTGGCCAAAGCTCACTACCTTGATTGTCACTGAGAATGGTCTCACAGGTCCTATTCCTTCGGAAATTGGCCTTAGCAGATCCTTGAAGGGTCTGTTTTTGGCCGGAAACCGCTTTGAATCTCAGCTGCCCACAGAACTTGGATTGTTGTCCCATTTAGCATGCTTGGGAATTGCACAAAATCAATTCACAGGCCAACTCCCCCCTGTTGGAATTGATACTGGTTTGTTGGCAGATGTCAATGCTGACCTGTCATCTTCATCAGATTTGCGTGTGAACTTTGTATCTCAATGTGCTCAAAATTGAGCAGAATGTACTTTTATAGATCCAGCCTTTGGTGCTGACACAGGCAATGTGAATCTACATAATAGTAACTGTTGTCAAATGTACGCTTGAGCTCCATCTCGGGTGATCTAGAGCTAGTCCAGAAGCAGACCTCGAATTTGACCAGTAGATACAGGACCGCCTATCACTAGTTAGCGTGCTTCTTGTGCGGTGGGATATTGTCTTGCCAGACTTCTCCACTAGATCGCCGATATCATTTGCCTTGTTGATAATGGCGATCAACTATAGCTTGGTCTGGTTCGATGGACGACTCGACTCGACAGTCACTCGGGCTCTTCGAGGCTGCCCCCCTCAAAGCTACTACCAGTAGTAGGAGAGAAGTCTGCTACCGGTACCGCATCATGTACCCGTATGTGCTCCCGCAAGGTGAGAAACGGATCCGGTGATGCAAAGTACCAGTGGTACTCCGAATGAGGAGCCGTTGCATATTCTGCTGTGCAGCACAAGTTGAGGCTCGAGGGGATCATCAATACGTAACCAGTGCTTTGTGTTCTACTATCTCGTTATGGAGTATCTGCCTAGCTACACTCCATCATTGTCAGTCATCGATATGCAACCAGCCACTTTTGCATAGGTGCCAAAATGGCTGGTGCTGAATCAAATCTTGCAGCTAGCTACTGCGGTACAGGTAGACGCGGGGGCATTCTTTGCCCGAGCCGTTGGTTGGTTTTCATCTGGGTGTTCTGCTCGGTCAGCCAACAATCTCTAGCAGCTAGCTAGCTAGCGGAACCAAGCCAAAACGATCGCAGCGGTTTCCTTCCGTTGCTGGGCTCATGTACGGTACCCACGGGACGTGCTGAGACGGGTTGGAAGGGTCGCAATGTCGCAGTTACTGTAGTTGACGCGTTCCGTTCCGGCAATGTTACCAGCCAACTTCTACCACTGGCTGGCAGCTAGACTAGAGCTGCTACGCTGTAGCGCTGTAGCCAATACTGTCGCGCTGATGACTCACTCCAGAATGCAGAATGCACAGCGCATGTACATAAGTACCGGTATGCCATGCATGTACCGGGACTGTCACGTCGAACTCAGGGAAAGCGAGTGCACACCTCACTCGCACTTAAGATAAGTGTGTTTAAAAGATACCAAGCAAGTACTCAACTTTACAGAAATGTTAAAGTAACTGGGACACTCAGATTTCCCAAACCAGTAAGATATAATAAGCTACGAGTACTGAGGTCTCAGATCCTAGGCGAATACTAATACTATTTTGGGACTGATTGCAGCCAGTACCCACTATCTTCCACATCACCATCTGCATCCATATCCCCATCTTGGGGTGGCTCCTCTACCACACCAGCTTTGGTTTCATGAATTTTGGATTTGCACCTTTGCCTTCTTGTGCTTTGGTGGTGGTTCCTCACTGTCTGAGGGCATGGTTGGTACCGGTAGTACCGATAGGATAGGGTTGTGGCAATAATGGCTAGCTAGTGGCAATAAGATACGAAAGATACTGAGATTGGGGGTGCTTGGAAGATAAATAATCAGTTTGACTTTGGGTGACAGGTACTCCCCAGTAACCCTAACCCTACTGGAATAATAATATAGTTATCTTATTGACGAGGTACCATAGATGTGAACATGGTTTGGGGAAGAGAGGTTACGTTACGTTCAACTTTATACGCTCATAATGTACAAGCTTCCCCTACGACCTGGTGATGATGAATCTGGGAATTAAGGGATTCCTGATTGAATCTATTATAGTAAGTCTTACACTGCTACCGGTAGAAAAGTGTGACAGTTATTTCCACCGATGCCAGTCAGAGGTTACAGTCATTCACTGATGGCGAGCTTTTTACCTCTTGGGCCTATTCAAGTTGTGTCGTTTATAATTTTTGCGAGGTGAGATGCCAAGAAACCCAGTCCAGCATGCCCAGTGCCCAGCACACAGTCTCTCCAAAGTTTCCATTACCGGCAGTAAACAAGACCACAAAAGGGAAGGCATTTGACGGACATCGTCGTCGCACAGACCAGGTCAATCAGATTTCTATCTATTCATTCTGCTTGGGTATTTTGTCAATGAACGCGTTCTTGATTGACTAATCTCATCGATTGTATACAATATATTGATAATGGATCGAGAAGAACAAGAAGACGCTAGCAGAAATGCCGACAATGGCAATAGTGAGCGACCAACAAGACGAGACGCTCGACGTCGAGGCCCCCGAGTTCCACGCTATACGGGACCCCGTCCTGGTACCAATAATTCGAATTCACCTAATAGGAGTCTAAGTCCGCAACAACAGACACAGGAGGAACATCAGCAGGAGCAGCAGCAGCAACAACAACAAGAATCGGTAGCACCACTGCCACAGCCAACAACACGAGCCGAAAGAGAACAAGAGAAAGCCAGTGCTACCTCTTCCTCCATTAATGCGAGAGATCAGCGTCAACGAAGCCAACGTATACCCGAAAATGTTCCGAGAGATACCCCAAGAGATACCCCTGATACCCCTGCACCTAATGGTAGTGAAGAGGGTAGCAGGTCATTATCTACCGGTAACAGTGACCTTCCCCAACCACCACCACAACCAAGTCGTCGTCGATCCAGTGCTAGTACTAGTACTGATACCCCTACGCCTAATGCTAATGGCTCAGGGACCACAGCTGAAGGATCTAGACGACGAACTTCAAACAAGCCCAGAAGAGCCACAATGGAACCACCCATGACAACAACAACCAGCAATCACAGCTTGGGCGGATCGGGTAGCATGCCCTTTGACATTAGTGATCATTCCACATCCTCCAGGAGGCACCCTCCACCGTCACCACGATCTCCCTTTCGTGCCACGGCTCCTGCCGGTGGCGGTATTTTCACCATTGATCAAATGATGGAATTGGGATTCGATGCCCCCGCTCCCTTACCACTTCCGGCGGCACGACCTCCACCACCACCTGCTGTGCCCGGAGCGTTTCGAGGAGCCGGCCCAGGCGTCGATCAACAACCCGAACCCATACGCCCACTCTACAAGGGAGGAATCCATGTGTTGGGGCGAGAGAGTACCAATACTAATAAGCGCGACGATAGTGACCATAGTCATGGCATGGGCATGTCACGACGAGAATCATCCCTCTATTTCGATAATGAACCCCGCCGACCACCCCCGAGACCCTCGTTTCCACGACGACAGACCGAACCGCACATGACACAACGACAACGAGACGAACAACAAGAATGCCCGCCACTGCAAACTTCTAGAACAAGCACAACAAGAACCGCAATAGAACCACCCGATGTGGAAGAAGCACGGCCGGCACAACGGCCTACACCCATCCTTCCAGATACGAGTACGCCCGTCCTGGTTCCCAGCATTCGCGATGTCTTTGTGGATCATCAGGAACATCATGAGCAGGCACCACACGACAACAACAATCACGCCAACCCGGACAAGAGTGACAATACCAAATCAGTCTGGATCATTTCGGCCGTAGTTTGTGTCATTTTGGTGATTGTCATTGGCGTTGCGGCAGGGGTTTCATCCAACAACCATAACGATGATGGCAGTTCCAGCAACGCAACCGATGCTTCCTCTGGATTTTATGCTGTTTCTCTCGACCAAATGTTTCCACTAGACTCAACATCACTCCCCAACCACACACGACAAGCCATTCTATCTGAAAACGAACAATCCCCTCAGGTTCAGGCGTTTCAGTGGCTGTCCCAAGATGAAAACTGGGACAAGTACGGCATGCCCCAACGACAGCAACGATTTGCATTGGCCACCTTGTACTATGCCACGGGAGGACCCAAATGGTTTGATCATGTGCTTGACGACAACAACAACAAACCAAGCCCTTGGCTGGATTACTCCACCCACGAATGTTCCTGGTACGATTTGCCCAACTTTCATGGTCGACAAAAATGTTTCAATTACACCACTGCCACTGCAGCAGACACAATGGCCAACCCGTGGGATGCTCATTTCGACTATCAGTCCATATTGTTGAGTGCCGACCCAAGGCTCATTACAACTAACAACAATCGTGTACGAGCAAGGGCTCGAGGGACTCTTGTTCCAGAACTGGCACTCTTGACCAATCTACAAGAGTTAGACATGGATTATCAAAACTTGAAAGGGACCATTCCGAATGAGTTGACGCAGCTCTCCAATACACTCCAGTTCATATACTTCACCAAGTGCTTCTTTACGGGGACGATTCCGGCAGACTTATTTGTTTCCTCGCGGTCCTTGTTTCTCAGTCACAATTATCGCCTGAACGCATCCATTCCGACAACCATTGGCAATCCATCGTCGCGCATGTCGCATTTGCTCTTGACCGAAGCGAATCTACAGGGAACGATTCCTTCAGAAATTGGGTTGGCCACAGGGCTGCAGGAACTCTTGTTGAATGGCAATGATTTGCAGGGAACGATTCCGAGTGAAGTAGGGCGGCTGTCCAGACTCAAAGTGCTGGACTTTACCGATAACGAGCTCTCGGGCACGATACCTTCGGAGATTGGACAAGCAAGGCAACTGCAAGACCTCAAGTTGGGGGCCAACTTTGACATGGCCGGAACTCTGCCGACAAGCCTTGCCCTCCTCTCCGATCTTCGAGTTCTGGACGTCTACAAGAACTCCATCGAAGGATCTCTACAGCCAGAACTCTTCTTTGCGACAAACACAAAAAACGACAACAATAGCACTACGACTACATCCACAGCAATGGCTGCCTCTTGGCCCAGACTGCATACATTGATGTTGACTGAGAATGGGCTCTCCGGTCCTCTTCCTTCGGAGATTGGCCTTCTAGGTGGATCCTTGACTGATCTTTTTTTGGCCAGGAATAGGTTTGACTCACAGCTGCCTACAGAGCTTGGATTGCTGTCGGGCTTGGTGTGCTTGAGCATTGCACAAAACCACTTTTCTGGCCAATTCCCCCCTGTAGCAATGGGTGCTGGTTTGATTACGGATGTCGATGCTGACCTGTCATCTTCATCAGAATTGCGTGTGAGCTTTGATGAACATTGCGGGCCACATTAATAATGAGTCGAGTCATTGCACGAAACGAACGGAGTTCCTTCGTGATCACGGGCACGTATCGTACGATACGGGTGGGGATAATCGTGTGGGCCGCTTTAGTATTTGTTTAGGATTTCTTCCATGCTCCTATTCGTATTTTTTTTAAGCTGTAGCAGTAAAAACTCTCAAAGTAGATTCAAAAGTAAATGGGTTGCTTGTTATTTATCGTCAATCATCCAAACAAACAGTGACATCGACTGCTTCACCGCAGCGCGTTGCTACATGTACATCAAGAAAACCTTTTTCCGCACCTTGCAAGTGTCATCAGGCCGCACACCCAAACAAACCTACTTGGCTGCAGTAATGCGTTGCGTGTAGTTTATGGATCTCAAATCACATGGGCAACCACCAGCATGCTCATGACAACGGGAGCAAAGTTGTGCAAAACAGTAGTGGCAGCAGAGGCAGGAGCCTCAGTGGCTGCAGCACTACCTTCCTCTGCCGGGGCGGGAGCAGGAGTACCATCGGGAGGAGGACCGTCGCCACCTTCTGGAGGTCCGCCATCGGGAGGTCCACCATCGGGTGGACCACCATTGGGAGGGCCGCCATCTGAACCACCGGGAGGGCCACCTTCTGGCCGAATGTCTCCACAAGTCCATTCGTCCAACAGGACTTGTCCGTAATAGCTGTCCGGACCGGCCAAGTAGGGGAAGGCTTCGGTGGCATGATAGTGGTATCCGTAATCACCGTGACTGTGTCCATTGTGCTCATCCAAATATTCTCCTCCCTGCGCATAACAATCCGGGTCAAAGTAGTAATCTTCATAGTAGAATCCCGACGTCACGACAAAGACATTGGACGAGAGTGACGCGACTTCATCCGTCACGGAGGGACCCGGGCTGGATGCGTCCATGGTGCCTTGTGTCGGGTCAGTGTTGTCGACCATGACACAGGTCCGACTTCCCGTTCCACCACAACCCAATGGATCATCGGGGTTGGAATAGTCTCGCGTTTTCCAACAACTCTGCGCCTTGACACCCGTGTCCTGATAGAGTCCATAGTTGAGGTTCCCGTCGGGCATCATTCCAATAATGGGTGAATGTCCATTGGTACCATCATCCTGCAGTTCGTCCTGCAAACAGGTGGAATACCCGTGATGATGGTATTCTTCTCCGGCCGCATGACCACCACAAACGTCCAAATCAAGGGGCTCGAACTGATTTGCGATATTGCTCCAAACTCGTTCACCGTTGTAGGAGAATCCATCGCGCCAATCAAACATGGACACGCCATTGACAAACAATCCAATGATGCCCAATCCAAAGTCACACTGTTCTTCTTCCGTCGTAGCTTCCGGGGTGGGTGTCAGGGGAAATGGAACGGCCTTGTAGACATCATTGGGACAGACAGGACCCGGTGGCCAGTATCCCAAGTCGCATCCTTGACTGACATAGCCAATATCTTGTCCAAAGGAAATGGGTTGTTCATCGGGCATGACACTGGTGGCCCCCGAGGCGAAATCTGTGGCCGCCATGGGACGAGCATTGAGGGTATCCACCAGAGCTTGCGTGGCCAAGACGGAATAATCGGGGATACCAGACGTGTAGACGGTAAAATAGGTCGGGTTGTCGCCTTCCGGTACGGTGACGGCTTCCACATTGGTGACGACCTGAGCACCATCATTTTCAATATTGACAGAAGTGGCAGCATCCGTGTTGATCATCCAAATGGTACACTTGGGGTCCGTGGCAATGGAAGATTCCGAGCAGGGAGTTCCTGTAATGGTATACGGTTCCGCCGAGACAGTATTCGAGGGCATACCTCCCATTTCATCAAAGTCATTATTGTTGCCACCTTCTTCAGGCTGCCCTTGGGCACTGACCCCCGTTGCCAAAACGGCCAGCGCAGTCAAAAGCTTCATTGTTGTTGGTCCTTCTTTTTCTTTGTCTTCTTGTTGGGCTTGTAATGAGATGTTCTGATTTTTTCCTATGATTCAGATTTTTATAAGCTTCCTCACTCAAGCTTTCAGAAAAATGGATCTTGCCAAAGAGAATCGATCTATTTAATATTTGATATGGTATCTTGTCAAACCAATCAGCCTATGTCGAAGAATATGCACAGAGTGACCTCTCCTGAATGCATGCTCCGTTGATCGTACCACCATTGAGCTGGAATCGCTCCTGAATGCTCCCTGGCTATGCATACTTGCTTGGCTTGATGGTTGTTGCCAAGCTGTTCTTTAGCAAGGATCTGGTCCGATCTGGATCTGCATTCGGGGTTCCCAAAGATCCATTCAAATTGAATCGAATGGTCGAGAATTTCGAAGCAATCGAGATTCGATTCGATTCAATTATTCGGCGGCAATAGTTCTCAGTTCTCAGTCCAGTTCTTCAAACCACACATGCATTGTAAAGTAGTTTTATATGGGGGGTTTTAGAGTAGGGAAATTATCTACGGAAGCCAGCCGGGGCCAGGCTTAAGCAAAGAACAGTCGAAATTCAGGACTAGGTTCTGTGGGATCAGGGGCAAGAAATTGAGGACCATTACGGGGGGCAAGGGTTTGGCTTTGCGGGATCCACGGAGACATAAATGGGTAGCTTTCACAAGGGCAATTGAGATACGGGTCTGCATGAAGAACATCATTTGAGAGTAGGAAAATTGAGTTTTGGAGGCAGTAGCAGAAGCAAGGCGTTGTAAGAGAGTCTTGGCTTGAGGGGCATGATTGTAAAGTAGTTTTGCTTTCTACTGTATCCCTGTACAACTGTAGACTATGGTGACTAGCTAGCTAGTAGATTGGCTGGTCCAGCTAGAGATAAAGCTTAGATACCGTACGGTCGTACGGTAGGCTAACAAGCTTTAGTAGAGTCACGCACATAGAGCCTAGCGAGGACGCTGCTGATTACGCCACTGGCTTCCAAGCTCTCATGATCTATGCATACCGCCCGGTATGCTCCAGCCACACACCAAACAGAACTTTGTCACCGAGCCAACTTGACAGCAGTAACGGGAAAGGGGGAAGACAACAGTGACAGATGCAACAGCCAACAGCAATGATGGGGGTAGAGACAGTACTGTACTACAGCCGTAACATCTATATATATGGCATAGCACCGACAGCCTTTTTTAGCAAGCAAAAGAGTAGAGTAGTTAGGTTTAATTCTCCTCTTACAATACGACAGGTACAATACATCATGTAGTACAAGTAAGTATTGATGAATTGCTTACGGAGCCAATGTCTTATCAATTCTGCCTTTTTGCAAAAGAAGAAGGGGGAAGTCGGCACGAGGGAGAAAGAGGGGCAAGATAGCCCAAGAGGGCAAGTGCACCATTGGCATCCCAGAAGGAACCAACCAAGTAAAGTGACAGTCCAGTCGAGTGGCAGTCCATTCAATGATCACTGCCCCGTTGCTACTACCTAGATACCGGTGGTATCGTCAACGCGGCTCTAGCTAGAGGCATGAAGATACTTAGCACGTTGAATTCATAGACTTGACCTCACACTTGATCTTTTTCAAAGGCGCGCCAGCACCTTTAGAAGATGACATCTGATTGGGCGAAAGACGTCGACAAAATTGGCCGACTCTTGGATTTTCTATGCCACCTCCTGTCTCAAGATGGCGCCCATGACCGGACCGGTCTTGGCGTCTTGTCGTCACAAAAAAGAAACAGGACGATGACACCGTAGTAGTTCTGTCAACAACCACAACTCATTGAAAACCTTGGGGCCCCATCAGTTTGCAACAGTGTAATACCTACTACTAGTAGAAGGAACTAGCAAGAGAGTATCAGATCAGTGCTGTTCAGACATACATTGTGAGAGCTTGCTATCGAGAGAAGTCAAGACCACCAGGATCAGAAGAAAAGCTCGAGTTGAGTCAATTACAAGTACGCACAGTGTCAAGCAGCTGGACATCTTACTGACTGACTGAGGAGTTCCTTGTTCAGTTCAGTCAAGTTCAGTTCATTCAAGTTCAGTTGAGTTCAGGCATTCCACAATCCACAGCTTTTTCTTACTCTACTGAGGTTAAAAGCAAGAGAAACAAGCCAAGTCAAGCTAAGTAGTCAAGATGCCTCCTGTAAAGCGCAAGACGGAAGATGGCGACACTTCGAATCGTCCCAAGAAGATGTCGAAAGAAGAGCGCGCCGCCGCCAAGGAACGCGCCAAGCAGGCCATGTTGGCGCAACAGGAACAGCAAGCTACTAGTCAGAAAAAGACTGCAGCAGCTTCAGTAGCAGTAGCCGAGTTGCCTCCTCCCAAGAACAAAAAGGAACAACTAGCACAAGCTAGAGAAAAAGCTAGATTGGCCATGCAACAGCAGCCACCACCACAAGAACCACCACAACCAAACGATGACAATGATACGGAAGCCACTCCTCGTCGCATCAGTCCCAGACGTGACAACAACAACAACACTACTAGTGCCAGTCAAAAGAAACCTCCCCCCAAAGTCACTACGACTGTCAAAAAGGCCGCCCCCAAAGTCACCATTTCCTCCGACGCACTACCCGACAAAAAACCAGCAGCAGCCGAGGTCATGCCACTCCCCACGTTGGCACGCACGCAATCGACGCCACTCGAATTGGCACTCGAAGAACAAGTTGCTGCCAATGTCCAGGCGGTGCTGCAAGGAAAACCACCACCGTTTACCAGTGCGCCTCCCGATCATTTACTCAAATTTGCGCCTACCGAGTTGGAAGAAGGATACGATCACAACGAACACAATGCCCGGGATATTGATGAAGAAGAAGATGCCGAAACACAGGATACGCCCAAACAGGACTTATTGTTGTCCGAAAGTGTCGCCGATGCTGTCACCAGTGCGGTCATTCATACCCCCGCGACTCCTGTCGTGTCCAATTGGGTATCGCAACTCTTGTGGACGTTATTTTTACTAGGCGTGGCCAAAATTGTGGTCTACAACCACGCCAGGACGTATCATCGTGCGTTTCACAAGGTCATGGCCGTACTCCCCGTACCCAATCCCTACCGGACCGTCGATGGAACACCCATTCCGTACATGCCCTGTTTTGACACCAACACGAACAATAATAACGACTCGCGCGAAATGCGACCGGAATGTATCGCCTACAATGTCAAAACACCCTGTCCGGCCATGGGACAATGCTGGGGTGGGCAATTGCACCAATGCTCTCATTCCAACTATTTGCAAGTGGCACAGGATCAAACGTCCTGTATCATGAAACCCGACGTCGCACACGTCTATCATCACGTTTTGGACACGATTGCCTCTTGGGCATTGGAATATCATTGTCAAAAGGAATTGGATTCTACTAGCAGTGGCAGCGTGGCAAAAGCACCCGTCCCCCACATGGTATCGCCGCTCCGGGGGGAACCCACTCATACCCGCAAACAACCCATGTTTCATGTCGCGGAAGTTCTCACTGACAAAGAAGACGACAGTATGGACGTCAATGCTCTTTGGGCACTCCTCGAAGCGGGAAATCCCGTCGCCGGATATCCTCTCAAACTCAAAGTCTTTGAAAGTTACGATCCCGCCCACGAACAAAATGTCCCTTCGCCGCTCGTCGCGGTCGTGCCATCCAAACAATACGTCAACAAATTGTTTCCACTTCGGACCCAGTGTCGATACCGACAAGCCGCACGACAGTATGCGCTCGTTAGTAAAACACCCTGGTTGCTCACCTTGTGGGTTGGATGCGTCGTTGCGCTCGTGGCATGGATTGCCTTGACGGGATATTATTGGCGGGCAGCCCAGGAACAACAAGAATTACTGGCGAGTATTGAAGTCGTACGACATTTTGTCATTGAAACACTGCAGACGAGTGAACCGCAAACATGGAAGGGAATGGAATTGAAACGACACGTGCTACTCAAAAGTGGCATCATTGGTACGAGCGGCCATAGTCAAGCGTTGTTTCACAAACGAATATGGCCTCGTGTCGTGTTTGATATTCGAGGCAATCCCAATATTTACAAATCCGTCATTGTCTCCAATGGTGATCTCATTGATATCTGGCAGTGGCAACCACGAGAATTGACCGAGTGATTTTATTTATTTTCGCTGGATCGGTGAACGACGACTAGAGTAAAACTTGTAGTGCACGCCGATCGAGAGAGAGAGAGAGAGCGAGTACTGAAGATTCTTGGTGGTACGGTAGAAAGGAGAAAGAGTGACGTGGTGTAACAACGAACAAACAACAATGGGGGGACGAACTGAGTGAATGAAGCGTGATTGTTTTGTGTGTGGTTTGGGAAGATGAGTGAATGAATGAAGTAAAATGAAAAACGCTTGCTGTCGTGATTGTGTTTGAGTTCGAGAAAAAATGGCGCAGATCGGAAGACGCCCAATGGTTAGGTAATACTGCATATATATTGATATGATACGAAACGAAACGAATAAGATAATAGGAATAATACGTCGTAGTCGTTGGGAGCTCCTGGTTGCGAGAGGTACTCTCTTGTTTCCGCGTCGACCGGGGAAAGCACAACTGGGCGTACCGGTTACAAATACTGTACAACTCTCGCACCGGCGAAAACGGTGTACGAGCGAATACAACGTCGCACTGAGCGGCGGAAGTACACGTGTACGAGAGAGTATCGGCCACAGCTACAGTAGATTCGGAAGGAATCGAATCGAGCATCATATTCCGCAGGGCGGTTCTACTGCTTGCGTCCTTGTGTCTTCGAGTAAAGCGGTGAAGAGCCACGGCTACGTCTAGCTCCGTTCAGGGCAGCTTTGCAATCACGAACCGTCATTTCCACTCAACTTCGACGTGCAGCTCGTACGGCACGAAGCCAAGAAAACACAAGGTTCCTTCGATGTCCTTATAACCCGATCGTTGATTTTACCTGCCTATCTATCCGGATACCGTAGTCCTTCCCATCAATCGTGGCATCGTCCCAATGAGTGGCATTGCTGGCCACGAGATCAGAGAAGAGATTTGACACAGCGGATCCTACGATCATGCTAGAAGTGCCAGGAACAAGTCTATGTGCTGTCTCTACTACCTAGATACTATTTCGTTTGTTGTTGCTAATTGTCTAGCTAGCTAGTTAGATAGATAGACAGATAGCGCTCAAAGATGGTTGCTGTCGTGTCGTGTCGTATCGTTCGCGCCAAGCTCTATGCCTTTCATAGTACTGAGGACGACGACGACGACATGGCCTTTTCTTTGTTTTGTTGCTGTAGTTTGGCAATGCGTGTTCGCAGCAATGCCTTTTTCTCTGGTACAGACAACAACGCTTGTACTGCGATTGGAGTGGCGCCTCCACGGCGGGTATGAACACGCTCCAGAGCATCGCGATGACGTCGATACCAGCTCGCGTTAGGTTGGGACGATAGTACGGACCATACCGTGTCATCATCATAGCGCGACTGTAACGTGTCGACAATATCTCGTAGTTGCACACATGTCGTCAATTTTGGCGATCCCAATGCGTCTCGCAGATCGGGGTGTTCTTGCAAATAGCGATGCAAGAATTTGAACAAGTGTCCTCGACAAATGCACAAACTTCCGTGATTGCCTAATACTCCTGGAAGAGGTGGATACCGGGTGCACCAATCGAGATAGTCGTGTGCGAATTGGAATTGTTGTTGGAATATCACTTGTGGGGGTGCTTTTGACGATGACGACGATGACATAAAAACATTGGGAGTTTCCAAGAGTGCCTCGGAACTCATGACGGCCGTGGCATCGGTTTGCTGTTGAATGGCAATGACATCGTCATAGGTTTCGATTCCGCCATTGGCAATGACGGGAAAATCAGGTTGCACGGCACGAGCCGTTTGAATGGCCTTGGTCATGCGATCGACGTGACACGCTCGTACTTTGGTTTTGTTTTCGTGCAACGTGCGTCCGTGAATGGTCAAAAAGGAAATTCCCGTTTGAATCAACCGAGGAATGCGTTCCGCCAACGTACTATCGTCGAGGGGCAATCGAATCTTGGCGGATACCATGGTTTGTGGATAGGATTCCGCCATATACGTCGAGAGAGCCGTGAGAATGTCGTAAACTCGTTGGGGATCGTCTTCCATGATAAAGGCGCCGTAGTGTCCCTTGCGGGCAATGTGTTGAGGACATCCCAGATTCAAGTCAATCCCGGTGAGTTGTCCTTGGGAAGATTCCATGAGCACGGCAGCCGCTTGTACGACGGCATCCACGTCATGACCGGCCAATTGGGCAATCAGCGGGCCTCGTGTGAATTTGGTTCTTTCATCGTCAGGCGTTAGTAATATGCGTGATCCCTGTAGGAACCGTTCTTGTTGTGGCAACAGCAGTGGCGGAGGTGGTGATGGTAGAAACTCCAGCAAATCGAGATGCGTCTTTCGAAATTGTTTGTCGTTCACCAAATTCTTGGCGTGCATCATTTGCGTAAAACACAAATCCACGCCGTGTTGACGCAACAAACACCGAAAGGGATAATCGCTGGCTGCTACCATGGGAGCCATGACGTGATTTATAGAGGACGGAAAACTGGCTGTTCTTGCTGTTTTGGACGTCAATGCCATGACTTGTCTTGTCGACAACATTGTATTCAATGTCGTCATCAGGACCACCAACCAACAGCCAACGGACAGAACTGGAATTCTTATTGTGACGATTCTTCTTGTAGTAACTCTTTTCTGTCTTCTCCTTCTACCGGTACAACAGCACCACTCTATTGACCCATCTGACATGCTTATATATAGATACTGACTTGAAACACTTATTATATCGATTGAGGATCCTCTGTCTAGCTACGGTAGACTATAGGTAGCTAGTACATGTAGCTAGACAATATGTGCGATGCCAATGGCCATGAAGCGTTCCTGTAATTGATCTGCGGTCTTTGGAATCTGTGGTTGGGCTTCTCCGATCCACTAACGAAATGACGTCATAAAACGGAAATTTCAAATAGTTCGGTCATTTCATGAATTATGGGCATTTAAGAAAAAGGAAAATGCGATGGTGTTGACCTTCCGTCAAACAAAATGTTCCACTTTTTAACTTTTTATTAAAAGGTGTTTTCACAAGTGGTGTCATTCACGCGATGAAAATTTCACCACGGGGTCACCGCTCGCTGCTGTACACGTGTACTGTACGAACTGCTGTTACGTCTCAATGAGACGACGCACCTTTTGGTTACCCCCTCAGTCGCACTCTGAAATCGATTTGCCGGCGTTTACTGTGGAAAATAGAGTAGCCGCACTTCAGTTGCAGAATCAACGGTCATGTGCTTCGAAAGATTTAGATCGATTCGTGGAAAAAGAACCGTTGAAGTTACTAAGGTTAAGGATAAACCGACCGTAGCGAAAGTCCATTATTGAAGGCACAGCACTGACTTCTCTCCCTCATTGAATTCGTATGGTAAACAGGAGGTAAATCCAAGCTTGGCCGACAACAATGCATGGTGAGTGCTTTATCCAATCGGCCGATCAATCGAATGGATCGCAATGAGGTAAGCCTATTATCAAGAGTGTTAATTGAAGGTACAGCGCTGACTTCTCTCCCTCATTCAATTCCTATGGTAAACAGGAGAGAATTCCGAGCTCGGCCGTCAACAGGTGAGTTGTTTTAATTATTCGAATCGAATCGATCGGTCGCACCTCTGTTATCCAAGCCAAGCCGGCTGTGTTCGAATCGATCGATCGCATCTCAATTATCTCAGTTATCCAAGCCTCACTCAAGCCGGTTGACTCTGGTACAGAAGCGAAAGCCATCCCTCATTGAATCCTATGGACCGTGGGATGGCAGTCAGTTCTGGGCCCATGACGGCCAAGTTGGTGCAATTTGAAAAACAATGGTAAGCCTCCGGTCGTCTGCAGTTGAGCACAGAAAACAAAACTCATATCTATTTGTTGTTTTCTCTGCTGTACTGCTGACGGCCGAGGAAATCCCATTGTCGAACGAACGATTGATCGCTCCGAATAACACGAGGAAGAAGAGGCTACCGCTACGGAGGTATGTGTACGGAGGAATCTGTTAACTCCATCCCTACCAACAGCATGAACGACGTCTTCGAGTCATTGAATGGCAACAGTCAACCGGAGGAGGCTACACGACAACGCACAAAAGCACAGAGGAGAGTGGATCCTACTACTGGATTCATCCCTCCAGTGTTATTTCCTTGTGATTTGGTGGTGATTCCTGTGTCGGACCCATTTTCTGTATGCTAAAGTCCTCGGGCGAACGACTTGCTTCTTTCGTAAGATAATAGATCATCGAGTCGTCGACTCATTGAAGGAACAGGAACGAGCAGGCTATACGACAACTCGACAACCACGAGGAGAGTGGATCCTCCTACCGGTATTCATCCCTTCTTGTTATTTCTACTGTTTTGGTGGTGAATCCGATGTCGGTACCATTTCCGTTGTGGCAAATCAAGTACTGTTGCCACTAGCTATAACGCAGTGGTACAATGGCTGGATTGACACAATATTCCGTTGTGCGTGTATTCGTTAGGATCCAATGCGAGGTAACCGAGTGCAGCGAGCAAAGTCGAACTGTGTGTTCGGTACTGTTGACTGTCACGATCGATGAACTCTACGGTAATGGTACAATGGTGGGATTGGAATATTCGTTTGTGCATTATTCGTCATAGGATCCAATGCGAGGTACAGCTGTAACCGTAGTGAGCAAAGCCGAACTTTCGGTACTGTTGCTCTGTCCTCGATGACTATACGTAGTGGCTACATGGCTGATTCATAATGTTCGTTGTGCATGTATTCGTCATAAGGATCATGAAGGTACCGGTACGGAGTGTAGCAGTAAAGTGGACCGCGTGTTCGTACTGTTGCCTGTACGGATGTTTGTAATCTACGGTAGCTGGCTAAATGGCTGGTTTGAAATTTCGGTTGTGCTGTATTCGTCATGGATCAATGCGAGGTACGGTAACCGTAGCGAGCAAAGGACTTTCGGTCTGTTGACGTGTCGATGTAGCTACACGCAGCGGTACATGGCTGGATTAATAATGTTCGGTTGTGCATGTTTTGTCATAAGGATCAATGCAAGTACCGGCAACGGAGTGTAGCCAGCAAAGCGGAACTGAGTGTGTTCGGTACTGTTGATGTCGCGATGTAACTGTACGGTAACTGGCTACAATGGCTGGATTAAATATTGGTTTTGTGATGTATCCGTCATAAGATCCAATGCGAGGTAACTGACTGCAGCGAGCAAAGTCGAACTGAGTGTGTTCGGTACTGTTGCCACTGTCACGATCGATGAACTCTACGGTACTGGCTACGATGGCTGGATTGTACAATGTTCGGTTGTGCATGTATTCATCATAAGGATCCAAATCAAGGTACCGGTAACGGATGTAGCAGCTAAAGCGGAACCTGAGTGTGTTCGTACGTTGCCACGTGTTGTAACTATACGGTAGCTGGCTACAATGGTGGATTGACAATATTCGGTTGTGCATGTATTCGTCATAAAGGATCCAAGTAGGGCAAACTGAGGAAACAGGAGACGAACGCGAAAAAACCGAATTATTTCGTCTCCTGGAGACGACTTGCTTTAGGGGTAAGGGTACTTTTGGGGGGGAGGTTTGAATTATACCGGCGTGCATACTTAGAGGCCTCTGTAGAAGTCTACGTATTTGACTAGTATTGTATTGACGGGATACAGTCAACGCATGTACATGCACATGAAAGTCACCTCGCTTTTCACACAAGTTCGCATGAATGAGCGAGGGAGCCTTTATTTTCACACAAGTTTCGCATGAATGAGCGAGGAGCTGTTTCGGGGCGAAGCAAGAAAGGGATGAGGCGCGGAGCGGCGAATACTGTTTCAATACTTGTAATCCTCAACCTTATTTCTGGAAACGGAGACGACCAGTAGGGCATATGAATTCTTTTTTTTCATTTAGCCAGCGGAGCTGTGTAACCTCGGCAGAAAGGTTAGTGTAGAAGCAGATACCTCTAGCTAGCTGAAGCAGATACCTCTAGTGCTTAGCTAGTGCTTAACTTGCTAGCTAGAAGCAGATCCCGCTAGACGCAGATTTCATAGCAAGCTAGAAGAAGATACCCCTAGCTAGTAGAATACTAGTATATAGCTTCGCTGGTTTAGAGTTTTTCCTGGTAGAAGCAGATCCCTACTAGGATGATGTAAATAGCTTTAGCTGGTTTAAAAGCACATCCTACTAGGATACTTATTTTAAAGTTTTTGCTGACTTATTCTATTCTAACCCTACCCTTATACCTGCAGGGACCACCGTAGCAGGAAAAACAATTAAAGGGGTTGAGGGCTCTGGCAGCAAGACTGCCGAGGTATATACGGGGGTTTAGCAGAGCACTGTAAGGTAATTTTCCATCGCACGGCATATGTCAACCAACAACAATCATGTCGATCATCCTCCACTGATCGATGATTTGGTGCACAAGCTACGAACAGCGTAGCTGAAGCATCGAGCAAAGGACGAATTTCTATAGCTTCAGTACACTCTCGATCTCGGTAACCAAGGAAGCAAGTCCCCCCCGTTAACCCGGCGAACGTGCGACTTTGTACACTAAACGTTGCACTAAACGTGTCGTATTTTATAACCAAGTTTAAAAGTGCATGTAGCGATAAGAGTCCTTCAAAAGTATTAAACCCCCGTTGCTAACTTATTATTAAATAGCGTGCATGACTAATTCAAAGTAGTCTAGTGGTGAAATCGAGCGACGTTTTGCGATTTTCTCGGGAAAGAGAGGAATCGGCGTGAAAATTTCGCCGCGGTATCAGAGCTCGAGTCATGGTACCATGATGGGTATAACTAACTGCACAATTCCTTGCATGTCAGCACGAATACAGGTATTGCACCAACCAACATGTCCTCCTCCGCAGATGATTTGGTGTCTGCATTGGTGCGCAAGTTGGAGGCATCCATTGACACCACCAGCCAAGACACTACTGGGTGCCTTCTACTAGCCAAGGAAAATGAAGCACTCAAGATACAATTGAAAGCTTTGAAGACTGAAAAAGAACACGAGGACCTCAAGATACAATTGAAAGCTTTGAAATCAGAAAATGCACAGCTGAAGAAAGAAGCGCAAGCCCACCAAAAGGAGCAAATGGAATTGTTGTGTCGGCAGTTGCAAGACCTCCAAAAACAGGTAGTTAAGAATCAGAAGGAGCAAGCAGATGCTGTCCGAAAAGAACTCAATGATCTCAAGAAGGTTGATAAGAATCCGCAAGGGGCAAGTAGATTCTTGCCGAAGGAACTCAATGATCTCAAGAAGGATGATAAGAATCAGAAGGCTCAGGCAGATTCTCTCCGAAAGGAAATCAATGATCTCAAGAAGGTTGATAGAATCAGAAGGAGCAAGTAGATTTTGCCGAAAGAACTCAATGATCTCAAGAAGGCTGATAAGAATCAGAAGGTCAGGCAGATTCTCTCCGAAAGGAACTCAATGATCTCAAGAAGGTTGATAAGAATCAGAAGGCTCAGGCAGATTCTCTCCGAAAGGAAATCAATAATCTCAAGAAGCAACAACAACAAGATGCCAAAAAGTCAGCCTCCATGGTGGGGTTGATCCAGTGCGGAAGGCACACCGATAATGTCAAAGGTGGATCTGATGCAGGTAGGAAGGTCAGTGTCCCAATCAAGTTTGCACGTAACTATCCAGGCCCACCACCCAACGTTCATGTGTCATTGGACAAGTTGGACTTTGATTGCAATCGCAACACGCGAGTTCAGGTAACAGCAGAGAAAATCACCCAAACTGGCTTTACCCTCATCATTTATTCTTGGAGCAACACCAAGTACTGGTCGATCGGGGTTAGCTGGGTTGCATTTCCTGTGGTGAAATAAAGGTGGAAAAAGTACTGGTTGGTCGGGGTTGGCTGGGTTGCTTTTCCTGCTGTGAAATGAAGTTGGAAAAATGCAATCTGGCCACTCAACGAGCTCGTTAGCTGGTATTATTGCAAGGTAGCTTTTATATACGGTAACGGAGCAGCATTTTGCACAGGGCGGGACGGATTCGTTGGTATATGGGTGTCTGGCAGAGGAATACCGGTAGCTGCAGGAATATAATGAATGCAGTCAGCTTTTGCGTTGTCCAAAGTATCTTAGCATTGATGGATCCGGTAGAGATTGGAGTGGCACGTCATTATTGGAACCATCCTTTCTTGGAACTCTTACGTTTGGTTTGTTGAGGTTGGTCCTTACTGTTGTCGTCGTCGATCCACATGGCGGCGTCTTCGTTTTCTCTTACGGTAATCTTGGGTCCCTTGTAGGTATTCTTCTTTCGGATCGCTTCTTCTTGTTTGCTCATACCTTGATAGATTCGATGATGTGACTGCTTCTTTGTCGTTTTGGATCCACTGTTGGCGTTGCCAGTCGAAAAGCCATCGAATAGGCCCATTTTCAAACGGGAAGTGGTACCAGTAGCCATCCTTGGATTGGATGCTGCAACAACAACAGAAAAGCCGTCCACGGCGAGGGCCAAACAGGCAAGCACAAGAGAAACTGCTGTAGAAACATCCGTATATATATATAGCTCTCATCATTTTTCCCTGTCTATAGCCAGCTAATAGATTGGCGTGCTGCATGTTTCAGACTCGCAGGTCTCAAGCTAGCTAGGTACATGTAGATGGATGAAACCTTGAGCACTTCGATCGACGAGCTATGTTACAATAGTAGAGTTCACAAAAGATTCACGGTCATCAAGCAATACTTACGTCAGCACATTGTGAACTATTTGATCAAATGTTTACCCCGACTACCCTTGTAATACTTCCGTGCATGGCTGAAACAGGCAAGTACTCCGAGTATGCATACAGCTAGTAATAATTGATAATTATTATTGACCAAAAGAAGCTGCATTTCTATGCATACATAAATCTTTTCCGCCTCTTCCAAGGAGCGAGGTTCAAGCGTTCAAGCGCAGCGCGGACGGAGTTAATTACTAAAGTGGTTGCTTGGCCTTTCATAATACTCATACGAGTACAGTAGTACAAGTGCCGATACCCTTTCCTGGCCGCCTGGCCATACCAAGGCTCATCAAGACTCAAGCATATTACACTCCAAACTCACATATAAGAAATCTCTAAATTCAGTGCAGCCCTGGGCCTTTCTTACCATGCAGCACCATTTTTGACCCGCAGTTCCTTTCTAACAAAACAAGCCAATTTCAGCATTGAAGACTTTCTTACTATGCTTCTGGGTCAAGCAGTTCAGTACTTGGATACACCCAATGAACCTGGGCCTTTAGGTTCAACTTGCTCAGGACTCATAAATTGGGTTGGATCAAATAGAGATGGTGATCACTGTGCCTGCCGTGAGGCAGAAAATTTTGCAGATGTAAGCACAAGTTTGAAGCATTTTCATGGTGTCAGACTAGTAGTATTTCTTACACTTTGAGGTCTTAATACTGGGAAGCTTTCTTACAAGTCTGTGATATTTCAGCATCAAGATGTTCTTAACATTTTCTAGAATCTCAGGGCTCGCTTTCTTATGGTGGAGTTTCTTATATTCGAGTCTGGAGTGTATGATGCTGCTAGTACCTGGTACCGGTATTCCATCTATGGAGTACCGGTGCACTCCTACCTTGGTATTAAGCAGTCTCTAAGTACTTGGGGAATCTTGGCTTTTTCACAAGTTTCCCCATTGAACTTATATCTTAGCTCAGGATTCATCACCAGGGTAACCATAGTATCTTAATATTCTGATTAGGAAGAGAGTGCTATGAGACATTTCTACACTGCTCCCTACCTTACTCAGCACACCCTACTAAGGTGAAGAGAGGAGAGAGCCACTAGTATACATAGCCATCCATCCCCTGCCGGAGGCAAAATTTTTGACTTTTGGCACCTGTTTTTAAGGCATTTTGTTGTAGAAAAGTATCATTATTTCATCTCTCAATCTCTTATGTGCTCAAGGGAGAGTACTCACTGGGGATCTTAGCTCTGGTGCAAATCTGAGTGCCTCCAGTATCTTAGCATTCCAGCAAATCTCAGCACTCGACATCTTATCTCCAACTCTCTCAGTATCAAGGGAGGAGTGTTCCGGTACTAACAAAGCCCACGTTCAGTTTTCGATTGAGTCGAGTGACTCGAGTGAGATAAAAGTGGGGCACCACAGCTGGCAAGCTGGCAAACACTGTGCAAAAGCAGCCGTGGTCTTTTGGCGTTTGGCGTGAAGACTTTTTAAAAAGCATACCTGTACTACTATTAATAATTAATAGTACGTAGAACTAGTCTAGTTAGGAATAATTCTCGGCCGGTCGTAAAGAACAGTCCAGAGGGCACTGGCCAGGCTGGCCAGTGTTCAAGATTGGTCTTGCGACCAACAAGTACGACAAGTACCTTATTTATTTTACCTCAACTACGCTACAAACAGACACTTTCGGGGATGGCCAAACGACAAATTTTAGCAGAAGTGCTGCCATTCTCTTCTTCTCCGAGTGCTTTTTCCTCCTCCTCCAGTGAAAATGAGCCAGTCAGAGCCCGCGGATGAAGCACTCCTGCACACCAAATTTACTCCGGCGTAAAAAGCGATGATGTGTTTGGCACCGTCGTACGGTAGCGGTGAACCAGCATGAAAGCTGCAAATAAATTCTCAGGTCGATCGCACACCCGCGGCCGGAACTCGCCCGTGTTCATAACGCCATATGCCATACAATCCAAACGAACACACGACGAATCATCGCCCACAAGCATCTATGCATACGTGTGCGTCTCTCCTCGTCTTGCTGCAGTTAGTAGCACACGGACTCGAAAATATATTATACGGACGGCCCGCCAACATGGCGTTGAATACCAATGGTCGTTCCGGCACTGCCGGCCACCAGAAAAGGACTGGTTATTGGAGCTGTGAGGAAAAGGCATATCTTGATGAATTGATCAAACAGTTCATGGATGGATCCCTGGTAGGATTGGAGAATGGAACCACCCTTCGTTCTCACCTGGCGGCGCGGCTCGACTGCCATGTAAAGAGAATCTCGAAAAGAGCTGAGAAAATTGCAAAGGGAATATACAATGGTCGAAGTACGTATGTTGGGAAGGATTTCACGTTGGAGGAGAGCAACGATAGGGGTTGCAAACTGGAGAGGCTAAGGCGGGCATTCTTGGATCAACTAGATTATAGGGAGGAACTACAAGACCCAAAAGGAAACGTGTTTAAGCGGGCGCTTGGGCTTGACTCTCCTGATGAGAAAGTTGCAAGAGCTGAAGGTAGCAATCCAAAGAATGAACTGGCACCTTTCAACGGCAAAGATCAGAAACCCTTGAGTATTGCCTCCGTTGGCAACTTAGCCTTGCTTCATGGGAATGACCAATTCTGGCCTTCTGAAATGGACCGCCAGGTGGAGTTTCTCTCAACACTGAACAAGCCATCATCTACTGCCTCTCTACCACGCCATGGGCATGCCCCAGAGGCTCCTTCTGGCTCCATTCGTAATAATGGGAGAGTCCCCATGGCAACTGCCCTCAAGTCTCCACCGGGTCAACCACACCACCAGACTCCTCCATCCGTTGGGGTACCAACAAGCAGTGCTGCACATGTGGCCACACAAATATCGTCTTTTAGTAAAACTACAACTAATAGCAGGGTCCCAGTGGCAGCAACAGCAGCAAGACTGCCAGTCACATGTTCTAGCCAAGCTGTTCCTGAATCCAGCGATGACATTATTATGGCAGGCATGAAACTGAAACGTGCCATAATCAAGAAGCGCATCCTGTCCCTGACACCACCCCAAGGCATGGTTGGTCATTCATCATCATCCGCACGTACACCGCTCAGCCATGCCAACAACTCTGTTGTTGTTGTTCAAGTACAACTGACCCTGAAGCTTCTTGGTCAGTTGGACCAATCTGGATTGTTTTCGGGTGGTGATGATGCTAGTATCCATACCATGAGATTGGCATTGAAATTGCTGCGTCAAGTGACGGCGACCATCACCACAACAACAGCAGTCAATGATACTCGTGCATCGTTTTCTGCCGTTCCACTTCCTCCTGAGGAGGAGCCCATTCCCAAACGAGCCAGGCTTAACTACTAATTGAGGAAGTACGAGTAAGTAAGTACGGTATGGCATGACAGAAAGAAAGACGGACAGAACTCGCTGCTGGAAGAGTGGTACCGTACAGTTTCTCCATAATATACATGCCGCGGCCGAAAGCACAGTATGCCACGGCATTTGTCTCCAGATTACACTTGGTCGTGTATGTACACTTACTTTAGTCTATGATACATACTACATGCATGCTGGGTTTGTGCTGTTTCAAGAGCCTGCATTCTCCCTTTCTTTTAGTAACAAAATTATTTTTTAAAATAGTCCATCACTACTGCTAGCTAGCTACTAGCAAGAGTACTAATACTCTACATGAGCCACATCCACGTCTATCTCTCCCCCCACCGTTTGCCTGCCCGCCCGTGTACTCCTGGCTTGCAAGCAATTTGCAGTGTTGGTTCGCACGGATCGGATGCCCGTTCTTCTAAGCACCGTAACCGAGTTGCCCTCCCACGGTGTTAACCCGTTCATTAAGTCTATATATCCCGGTACGGTACGGTAGGGTGAGGGCTTACTCAACCCATCAATCGCATTGGCGCATCAACACACAACACACAACACACAACACACAAATCCAAAATAAAAAAAGAGGACCATGAAGAGAAAGCCGAGCAAGAAGAAGACAACGGCCAAGACGACGACGAGTCAAGCGTCCTCCTCGTCTGGTACTAGTAGTACTAGTGCTAGTGCTACTAGTAGTGATCCTCCCTCCTTGGACCCTTACTTTGCTCGACTGGAACGCTTCGAGTTATTCGAGACGAATCAGTGTTACTACTTGATTGGCTGCAATCGAACCAACACGCACTATCGAGTATTGACGTTTGATCGGACGTTGATTGAACGGCCGGCCAGGCCGAGTGACTGGAATAATGGAAATGACAATGATCCATTTACTCAAAATACTCACAACAGCAACAGCAACAGCAATACAACTCCACACAATCGAAGCAATAGCAACAGCAACAACCACGGCCATGATCCAGCGCACAACACTACTAGCAATAGTGGCAATCACACTAGTAGTGGAGACTCGAACGTTCATCCTCATCATCCATCCGAACAGAGTCATCACGCCAAACCCACGCTGCGTCCCTTGTGTGATTTTGTACGAGAAGATGATCACGTGTACACACAAGAAGAAATCAAAGAGTTGCTCGATGTCATTCACGATGGCAATCGACTCAATAGTCCTTCTTCCAATGCTTCTCAGACCAATGAAGGCAACAGCAATAGCAACAGCAACGGCCTCAAACCCATTGTGAGAGCGTACGGCATTGTGGGATTCATTCGATTCTTGGATTGCTACTATTTGACACTCATTACAAGACGTGCCAAAGTGGGCAGTATGGGTGACACGGGAAATGGCATTTACACCATCAAGGGCACGGAATCGTTTCCACTCAAACCACGCGGATCCACATACTCCAATCCATCCACTTCCAATCACAACAGCATGGTCTTTACTTCCTCCACCGATTATTATGGGAGCAGTCACACGCATAATGGTCCATCCACCCACAAAAATGACAATGCGGCCGCTCCCGTCGATCCATCATCCCTATTGTTGAATATGTGGAATCGCGGAAAACGACAAATTGGATTGGGATTGACGGGACGTGAAATTGCCGAATTGCGTTATCAAGGACTCTTTCAAGTCATCAATCTACATCAAAACTTTTACTTTTCGTACACGTACGATCTCACCAAGAGTCTGCAAGAAAACTTTTTTTTGACGACCTCCAAACCCATGCCGCCGCCGCCGTTCAAAGATATGTATGCCTGGAATTATTTTTTGACAAGAGAATTTGAAGCCTGTTTGACGACGAGCAGTCAAAATCATTGGATCATGCCATTGATTCATGGCGCATTTGTCCAACGCAAATTGCAAGATTACGGACGTTCTTTGACTTTGATATTAATTGCAAGACGATCCCGTCATTTTGCCGGAACCCGATATCTCAAACGCGGTGTCAATGAACAAGGCAAAGTGGCCAATGATGTCGAGCATGAACAAATCCTCATTGACGATGGTGCCAAACACGTTTTCTCGTCGTATCTCCAAGTCCGAGGATCCATTCCGACCTTTTGGACGCAAGAGTCCAGTGTCACAATGCCCAAACCACCCATTGAATTGAATCGCGTCGATCCCACTTATACCGCCACACAATTGCATTTTCAAGATTTATTGACGCGCTACGGCAGTCCCATTTGTGTCTGGGATCTTGTCAAACAATCCGAAAAACGAGAACGAGAAGTACGCGTCGGGAATGAATATCGACATGCCATTGATTATATCAATACCAGTGTCGAAGAACCACATAAAATACGGTATTGTGAGTATTATACATACAGTACAACTGTCAACCAACAATCTGCAAACTATCAGGATCCAATGATGACCATGCAGTGATCATGCATTGGTGACAATACAATCGACACGGTTCTCACAATTATCATGTTCTCTCTCTGCTTTCTATATTGTCACTATATATAGGCGCCCTCGATTACAGTCACATTTCCAAACATCGCAATCTCGATGTCAGTACCAGTCTCAATGAAGTCGCTACTTGGGCGGTCAATCAAACGGGATTCTTTTGTTCGAGGCCCAAATGGAAAATTTTGAAAGGAGGACGGATTGAACCGTTTCTGGATGATGTCGATGGAGCCAATACGGCTCTCTTGACCAAACAATTGGGGGTGCCCGTATTTGCCATGGAACAGCGGGGGGTATTACGGACCAATTGTATCGAGTGAGTAGTCTGTGTGTGTTGTGATGGATGTGATGCATCGGGTTGATTGTGTTGCTTGTGCAAGTGTACTGACGACTGCATACAGTTGCTTGGATCGAACCAATGTGGCACAGTTCAGTGCGGGTGTCGAAGCCATTGAACAACAGTTGGTCGTCATGGGGATACGAAGTAGTGCCAAACTGGATTCCACGGCAAACATTGTCAGGTAAGGGAAAAGCAAAGCAAAGCAAACTGATGCGAAAAAGGCAGGACGAAACAAAAGCTAAATATCTTTGTACTTGGAGCCAAGCTGACACTTTTTGCTTTGCCCGATCCTTTACTTGATTGCTGGACCATATGCAGAGTCTTGATTGACATGTACGTGGACATTGGGGATAGCATTGCTTTGCAATATGGAGGATCGGAGGCACACAAGAAAGTTTCCACGGAACGATCGGAATCCACCATTGCGGGTCCGATTGGAAAGGTGCGTTTGGTGGCACGATTGATCAATCGAGACAATGACCCACACCTTTGTCCTCTAACTCTTGCGGTTTTCCCCACCATGGCTTCACAATCCGTAGCACAAAGAGTTGCTCACGTCCATTCGGAGATACTATAGGTGGGCTTCTTGACTGTCTTTGTGTTGCTTGGTTGCCGTGAGCGACGACTAGTTCTATTCTCACCGAACCTCATTTCCTTTGACAGCAACGCCTTTACGGATCGATTGAAACAGGACGCCATGTAAGTACGCTTTGTGACGGATGAAAGTACTTCGTTTCTTCTTGGGAATTGCAGCCTCATTGCAAGTTCATTTGCCTTTGGCCCACACGCACAGGAATCTATTCCTTGGCTATTATGTTCCCTATCGGTAAGTCAGAACGCGCTGGCGATGCCAGTTGTTGTGCGCTCAGCATCCTTACATGTAGGGTTGTTTAGGCATAGCACTGCTCTTTGGGATTTGCAGGACGATTTCTACTTGGTAAGAATCAAAACTTTTCCACCAGCTTTCGGATAGACTACTGTTCGGTGCCTCATGTCTCTGCTCCATCGCCATTTGTAGCACAACTACCACGTAAAAACCGGAAAGGGAGCAATGCACAACATGCAGACGTATCAAAGGGCATTCGGCATTGAATGGCAAGATGATTCTGACCTTGCCGATGGCGGGGATCGAAACCGTGTAAAACCACAACCCGCAAGGCGCATGTCGTCGGCAGACACATTCAACCTTCCTCCTCGTCCGATGGCAGATCGGGTCACCTCCAAGGATTCTTCCACCAGAGACAATCCTGGCGAGGAGTCTCGGCGGATTGCCAACGTTCGCGAGCGATGTGTGGCACAGAACAAGGGTGAGCTTAGACGTTTCCTCGTTGCCAACTGCGTGGCTCGGATGTTGATTCTTGCTAATGCATGGTTCCCTTCTGTCTGTCCTCAGCGCTTTCCATTTGGTGGAAAGCGGCAATTCAAGCCAATATTCAATCGAGAATGTGGATGCAGCTTGGTGCCAGCCCGACAGAGTCCATGCTGCCTCCGCGCTTCGAAAGGCTGTATCAACCCGAACGGATTGCCCAATTTGACCGTTTCTTTGCACGAGGCAAGTCTTGTTGGTTCAACTCTACTTGGAAGTTCGACGGTGATGTGACCTGGCACTAACAGATGGTTTCATTCTGCAGGATGGGCTACTCCCGTCAGGAGATCTCACTCGGCACAGCATACGAAAGGATCCTCCGACGACGAAACCGGCGCAAGAGAATTCCGACGAAGTGTCCAGCGTCAATCGGAAGAAGAGACCGCTTCTCGTGACGAAGACGACTCGGACGAGCGTGTGACTCTCACACTGGACAACTTTGTCACTGGGTACGGCTTGCAACCTCAACACAAGCCAACGCTGAAAGGATTTGTCAAACACCACGACATCAAGAGGCCCATTAGCAGTGCACAAGACACCACTGGCATCGGTCCGGGTGGTAAGTTTCTTGCCTTGTTGGTTGCCGTGTCGGGTCGTCGCTCACCTTGCATGTCATTGGGTCGACGACAGGAGTGCACCCATCGTATCTGGGGCGGTTGGGTCATGATCAGCCACGGGAAGAGTATCAACGATACGCAAGTCCGATGAGTGACATCACATCCATCAAAAAAGAGTATCGCGCAGGTGCCAAGGAAGAGTTTGAGAATCTTCTACAAAGCTACTCTTTGAAGGCCGACGACGTCGCTGGGATTCGCAAGGTAGGTGTTCATGTTTGCAGCGCGTTTGGAGATGAGATATGATGTTGCTTACAACAATCTACAACAATCGTTCTTGCTTTGCTCTGCACAGCTTGCCGAATCAGCCCACATTGGTAGGACTATCAAGAGTGGTCAATTCCGTGGGCTCTCCCATGATGAGTCTGCCATTGAGGTTGCAACGCTTGTGCACGAACAGTTCAATGCTTTGGAGAGTATGAGGTCCAGAGGGGATTTGTCACCGGAAGGAATCTCCCTCGTTGATATGGAACTCAAGCGTCGTGGCATGGACGCTTCGGGAGTTCGTGACACTGTGGCTTCGGAATGGGAACGATGCAACAAGGCAGAAAAGCAGTATTCCGAGGTTCTCCATCCAGCCACAGCTGCCTGCCGCCGAAGCGACCTCACAACTTCGAACTCTCTCAACCTGTATGCCTCTCTTTATGACGAAGGAACCGAGCTGTCGATTCCGGACCTCATCTTCCTTCTCGGGAAGAAGCCCCTGGAAGCGTCCAGCGAGGCACCGAAGAAGTGTCTTGACGGAGGCAAGGACAAGGTTTCGTTTGTGGATAAGGCAGCACGTATTGGCGTGCCAATTGTTCCGCACGAGGAAGTCATGACCCACAAGTCTCCTCCACTATTCCAGTTTGAACGGCAACGGAAGGTTCCTTCAGGATTCGAGCAGATCAACGAAGACATGTTCGCCCGTAAAGACAACAAGTTTATGGTATTCAACGGCGCGGGGGTTGACTCATGGAAGGGTTCCGTTCCTTTGACGAAAGTCAGCAGTATGGAAGAAGACCTCTTGCTTGCGCTTGGATAGAAGCTGGGCTTCGGTTTAACAATCTTGGTAGCTAGAAACAACTAGCTACATGGCTAGCAAAAGGCTCGACTTTTTCTTGAAAGACTACCGTAGTGGACCTGCTAGCTAGTTTATCCTAGTAGTAAACGAAGGAGCTGTTAGAAAACAACCCTTGCCTGTCGTGTCGCTCCCACTACCAGACTGAAAAACGTTGGAACGCAACTGTGTACAGTACAGTCGTACGGAGGGTTTTCCGTAGCTAGCTAAACTACTTGGATGAAGGTTCGAAGGACTGCAAGCCTTTAAAAGATTGTGGGAGCGTGAATGAAATAAGAAGAAATAACGTGGCCCGGGAAGTCTACCCCAAAACAAAGGTGGCTGGTCGGGCCGTTGCACAGATCTTGCTGTTCAATACACGAAGGTTCATTAGCCGATCAAGTCCAAACACGGAGACACTCCTACCCGTCAAAATGACAGGTTGGCCACTTCCCCCCGTTTTTCTACTATTTAAGCCAGCGGAGCTTTGGAACCTCCGCAGAAAGGTTCGAGTGTAGACGCAGATACCCCTATGCATAGTGCTGAGCTTAGCTAGCTAGAAGCAGACACCCCTAGTACCCGGTAGCTAGCTAGAAGCAGATACCTCTAGCTAGCAGATACCCATAGAATACATGTGAAGCTTTAGCTGTTTCAAAAGCAGCACCCAAGGATACTTTAAATTTTGCTGCCTTATTTGTAGTCTAACCCTACCCTTATACCTGCAGGTACCGCCAGAGGAAACACAATTAAAGAGGTTGAGGGCGAGGTAATAGACTAGCTAGCTACAGATAGAGCTGTAATGGCCAGCGAGTTGCAAGGTTGGTTTTCTTGAGCTTTGTAAATTTTGTTGGTATTCTACGAGTAGCTAGCTAGTTGCACTGTGGTTGATTTCTTCCAACGAATTCCATATATGGGCTCTTACAACAGGTTGTGCTTTAAGCTTCTTTCTTGAAGTCGGTTGGGTCCACAGCAGGAGCAATATTAGTTCCACAGACAAAACCCACAAAGACCAATCCACCAACCACCATGGCAGCAGCCAGCTTGGCACCGAACAAGAGCTCTAAGGCATAGAGGGGAGACAAGACAACCAAGTAGACAGCAAAAAGGAACAACTGAACCATCCAGTGCTGGGCATGGAACCAGTCGGACAAATCAAACGCCATTTGCACAAAATGAGCCACACCATCATCATTGTATGTCTGGCACCATTTGGGGTTGATGCCACCCACGCAAACCAAACGAGGCACAGTCATGAGCATGTGAGCAACACTGTGGTGAGAGAACATGGACTTGGAGTGGCCTGTTAGTTCCATGGTTTGGGGATTGCCATTGGGCTGGAGGGAAATGTAGCAAGAAGATACAATGCCATCTACCACAAGAGTACCATCCTGAGTCAGAGGAGCATAGATTCCACGGCGCTGGACAGTCTCAATCTTGGTGACAACAACCACTCCTCCTTGTCCAGCTTGGACAAGACTGTCACCAGCCTTGATGGATTTGGCCGTGACTGGGGCATCTTTGCCCTGCACATAGACCAAATGTTGACCAGTGACCTCCAATGGTTTCTTGTTTTTGCCACTTGTGTGGAATTGGAGGAATTCCGTGTCAGAGTTAGCATCGTTGTGGGCGAAGGCGTAAATTGGTTGGTATCTGTTGTTGGCAGTCACGATCATGTCTCCAATCTTGACTTCAGCCATCTTGGTGGGTACAGTTACTTTTCCTTGGCCAGGTTGTTTCACAGCCACAGTGACTTCCTCCGAAAAACAAGAGGATGGATCGGGAGTGGGAGCAGGAGCAGGAGCACTGGCACCAATGCATGTACACGTAATGACCCCGCCACCACCTGACGTTGAATAATCTATTCCGACAAGTCCGGAGGAATATGTCAAGTAGGACAGGGTCTTTTCGCAACCACTTTTAGCACCCACAAAGTTTCCATTAATCCGCATTACAGCTGAGATGCCGGCAGGGAGATTAGGACAGGTCAAATCACAGGATATGCCGGTGGTTCCAGTTAGGATCGTCAGGGAATCGCTACCAGAACCCACAGCTGTAATGGTGCCGCAGACAGCATCCCCGCTTACCATGGCCATCAACGTCATGATGGTAATGGTGAATAGAGCAGTGATCTTCATGGTGGACGGTCTTTTTGTTAAATACGTTGTTCTTGTGCTGGATTGGAAAAGAAGAGGAAGTGAGCCGAAAGCTTAGCTACCTCTTTTTGTGGGCTGTGGCATCAAGGATCAACAATGTGGTCTCATACGGTACCGGTGGCAATCCAAGCAATTTTGCTTGTTCCGGTATATATGTACCGGCGGAGGTCGCTGACCGACCCAGGTCCCGGTGGCATCAAAGGTTACATTGATCGTTGTTTAGTCTCTTGTGAGTACAGTATACACTACGACTAGACTAGTTAGAGTACCGCTGGCATGGCGTTTGATCTTCAGACATACGTCATAAGAAAGCCAATCAACAAAGTCTTGCACAATGGGCCAATCAGTGCCCGCCCGTACTGTATCACTGTATCATAACTAAACTCAGCTCATCAACCTACTCTAAACCCCCTTTCTTTGCTGCCACAGCTGCTACCACCGGTACATGTACTAGTACCTCTCTGTGACACAATGCATGCAGTCATCATTTGCATGTACGACTGTACCAGGTACCCGTTGTTAGTCGCTCTAAGCTCTCTTCTAGTAGTTACTGTTGCTATTGAGATACTATTGAAAAAGTGGGTGGGGGCTCTACCGGCTTTTACTACTGGCATCAAATTCTAGTACAGAGGTACAGGTTGAATCCCTAATCGCGAATCCCCAACACACTCCTGTGGTCGTCGAGCTTGTCCTAGTCGTCGACCATGCTTACTTACTCACTGCGCTTAGCGCTCCTTCTTTGAACGGACCTTCTTGTCCGACCGTGACCCTCCTTCTGAGTGCCCTGGCTCTGAGTGTTCCACAACACCCATCAACTTGTCCACGTTCTGTTTGAACAACTTCCGCCGAAGAAAATGGACAGAACTCAGCGATATGGAACGCAAGAGTATCCTAGAGTCACACCTGTCCTAAAGTTGAAAAGGAACGGGAAAATAAAGGCACGAGCGGTTGCAGGAGGCACAAACAGCGTGACTTCATATCCAAGGAAGACGCAAGCTTCGCCAACAGTGTTGACAGAAGCAGTGCTACTCTCCTGCATAATCGAGCTGAAGAGGAACGGGATGTGCAGTAATTGACATCCCGAACGCCTTCATCTCAACAAGAGTGAGGATGAAAAAGAATATGGTAATCATTAGAGATAAGAGGAGTATAGTAGACATGCTGTGTGAAATGCCCCAGATGTCTAACAACCGTTCGTGACAACGGATAAGAAGGGCAACAAGCAGTTGCTACTGCAATGCTTGAATGCCTCTACGGCACCATGGTAGCTAGCCACTATACTACCTAAGTTCCGAGAGACGATGCTCCGGAACGGAATTATAGATTAATCCTTACGCCATGTGTAGCCAACGAATGGTGCACGGGAAGCAACAAACAGTACTGCTGGCATGTAGGCGACATGTAAGCTTAGCCACAAGGACCCAAGGTTAACGACCAGCTGATTCCAAGTGCTTCGTGCTGAATACGAAAGCATATTCGAGGACGGCACTGGAGAGAGACGGTGAGCCGAGGAAAGGTCCACAGTATCTTGGCATGACACTAGACTTCACGACGAAGGTGTCAATGCAACGTATCATGTACAAGTACGTTGATTAAATCCTGGAAGCCTTCGAGAAGGCATCGCCAGAGGAAGGGGCACAAAACTAGAAGTAGTGCAGCCCGAAAGACCTATTACAATAGACGAATCCTGCAAAGAGCTCCCAACGAGGCAGAGGCAGACACCCTTTGCACGCTTGTGGCTAAGGTAGGTTATTCGCTACGAATGATGAGCCCGACCAGACACAGGAACGGCGATATCGTTCCTTACGACTAGAGTCAAGGAACACAGATAGGCAAGATTGGGATAAACTAGTCCACTCATGCAGTACATTAGATGTCTAAAAAACTACCATTAGCTTCTAAAAGCCGACGGAAGCGGCATATTGGAAATGGTATGTTGATGGTTCCTTTCGCAGTCCATCCAAACATGAGGGAGTCACACCGGAGGTGGTTGACCATTGGCACCGGTTACCCATTATCGACTTCACGAAAAAGAAGTGAACACGAGAAGCTCAACTGAGAGTGAATTCGTAGCAGTTGATGACCTGAAGCCATCGATCCTTTGGACAAGGCAGTTTCCTTCGGGAGCAAGGCTATGTAATTAAGAAACTATAGTCTACAGGACAACAAGAGTGCCATCTTCTAGAGAAGAACGGCAAAGTTCTAGTAGTAAAGAACGAAGACATCAACATTAGGTACTTCTTTGATGAGCGACAGAGTCGCAAAGAAGGAGATCAGTGTGCACTGGTGTCCAACTGATGATATGGTTGCGGACTTTCTGGACGAAGCCGAACCAAGATCGAC